CCATGGAACTTACACGGATATTATTGAACAGGAATGTTGTTTCAGTCACTTTCACACTTTCATGATTCTATAGTCAATGAGATATCTCCCCAAAGGAACATATATTTGGCTGAGGATTAAAAGATTTAATCCATCATGGGTAAGACATGACACTGGGGGCTTGAAACAGCTGGTCACATTTCATATGTAATAGCGAAACAGGCAGAAAGGTGTTGAGACAGCTGGTCACATTGCATCTGTAGTAGGGAAGCAAGCAGAGAGGTTTGAATGCTGGTATTCAGCTAACCTCCTTTGCATCTAGCCCAGGATTTTATCCTATGGAATATTGTTACTTGCTTTAAAATGGAATTTCCTTCCTCAATTACCCTAATCTAGAAATCCCAGCACTGATATACCCAGAAGTTTTATCTCCTAGGTGATTGTGGTTTCTGTCATGTTGACAATTACAATTAGGTATCACATATACACCAAATCTCTGACTCCATTATCTACACGAAAAACATTCACTGCCCTCTTGATGAAATCAACCATCTTAAACACTGAGTTTCACAGATCACTTTTAAGTAAAGTAATGTGGTATTCCACTGAGGAGGCATGCTAGGTATCAAGGTCACCTTGTTTGTATGTGTACAAGATTGTTTAGAATGAATCTTGCTCATGTGAGGATCCCTCGTGGAAAACACATGTGAGTATGGGCTGTAGCTCCTCATTTCCTCTCTATCCTAACACTGTGCTTATAGCTAGACTTGTGATGCCTACTAACTGTGTTGTGTGTGAGCAATGTGGAGCCATTGATTGCTCTTTTGTATCTTCTGCCCATTACACATAATAAAAGTGCCAATTTTAAAATTGAATTGTTAGAAATTTACTTCACATTCAAAATCCAGAGGCAGAATTGGCAACATCAGCATATCTAAAATGAAAACTCAACTCTGATACAGCTTTCATTTCCATCTTAACCAAAGACAAAATATGACAGTACTAGTTAATTAAATTAAGAACAGTAACATAGATAAATATATAGAGTTGAATGTCTACATCTAATATAAGAAGAAATGTCGAACCAATGATTGAGTGGTGATGTGTGGACTACTTTTAGAATAAGGTTAGATACATGGAGAATGGAAACAAGTTCAGTTCTGATAGATAACAGGTAGGTGCTTAGATAGATAGATAGATAGATAGATAGATAGATAGATAGATAATGTATAGATAGACAGATAGATGATATTAGACATACAAATAGATGATAAATGATTGAAAATTTGTAGATGGTAGATAGATAATATAACATTTCTAGATATATGATAGATAGTAGTAGTGAGAAAGAATAAGTTTGAAATGAAACTCGCCAGTGGCATATAGTTTTCAAGTAATCATCTCTCCCCATGGTCTTCACCCTTTAATGCTTTGTTCTGCCTGTTATATCTTTAAAATTAATACATAATGTCTGAAAAATGCTCTCATATGAGAACAGTATCATGGTTCCATTAATAGACCATTGAAATAAACATAAAGCTTCTTACAAACATCATGACCATTAAAGAGCTGACCATTTGTATTTTTCATTGTATAGTGAATCATTGTTGAATAATAATGTTTTGCTATGTTTATCATATTTGTACATATTGTGATTATACTAGATAGTTTCATGCTAACTTGACACGTGATAGAGTCATCTGAGGAGGAGACCTCAATTGAGAAAACACCTCCATAAACTGGTCTGTAGGTAAGCCTGTAAGGCATTTTCTTAATTAGTGATTGATGGGAAAGGACCCAGCCAATTGTGGGTGGTACCAACCTTGGGCTGGTGGTCCTGGGTTCTATAAGAAAGTAGACTGAGGAAGACATGGCAAGCAAAGTTTGTAAGCAGCACTGCTCTATGACCTCTGCATCAGCTCCTGCCTCCAGGTTCCAGCCCTGTTTGAGTTCTTGTCCTGACTCCCATTGATGATGAACAGTGATGATGAAATGCCAGCCAAATAGACCCTTTTATCCCCAACTTGATTTTTGGTTTTGGTGTTACATTTCAGCAACAGAAACCATAACTAAGAGAGACATTAAAAACATTTTTGAAGTTTCAGGTGAATATTTAACAATATGGGTTTTTGGGTAACACCTTTAATGCTATGGGTTTATGTCATGTTAAATACTAAATAGAATTAAGTTTATTCACTAGAATTTACAGAAGAATGAAGTATTATTTCAAAACAGCACAGGACTTATTTCTTTGGGGATATGATGGTTACCAATTAGTTGGTTTGGGAAACGAATCCTAGGTTGATTCACAGTCACTGAGCATAATTTAATTGTATGATATGAGAACTGACAGCAAGTTGAAAATCCTTGGGAAATAGCAAAAACCAAATGATTTCTTTGTTTTTCTAATATACTGAGACTGAGGTATGGGGAGATAACAAAGAGAGTTGGTGTGAAGAATTAACTCAGGATATCCCAGTAACCAGGGCTTTACCTTTTCATTTATTAATTTACACTGAAATCAAACCAATGGCCCTATTCTTGCTACTTAAAGTTAATAATAACAGGTGCCTTCAGCATGTTTTCCTGTCAGTGCTCTCTAATAGAAATGCTGTGGGTTATTGCTTTTCTTTATGGGCCTTTGCTTCCCCATTTGTAAAACTAAGAGGGTGGAAGAGGGAAGAAACCACATGGTTTCTCTGCTCAGTTCCTTTTCTGTTCTTTGAATCTATGAAGGCTAATCTTTCAATTGTGTGGGCAAGACTCTCAGATGGCAAACACTTACAAGTCTTCCTGTTTCCTCCCTGCTTTAGTTGTGAGGGTGTTCAAAATTAAACTGCACCTCAAGTGGCAGGAAATGTTCCCACCCAAGTTAGCACCACAGTATCCTGCAAACACTCCCAGCTGTCCCTTGCAACTTAAAGATTTATTTATTTTTGTTTCTGTTCCTGTGTGTCTGAATGGAAGTCGGTATGTACACTTGGGAGTAGAGTTTCCTCAGAGTTCAGAGAGGGTGTTGGGAACCCTGGAACTACAGTGATAGATGTTTAAGAGTCACTTGATGTGGGAGCTATAAACTGAACATGGAACCTATGTATGGGAGGTAATCTGTGGTAACTGCATTTACACCTCTCTGGCACATTAGCAGCCCTGCTGCCTGCCTCTGTAGTGGTCACTATTGCCTTGGCTTTGTTCTCATTTGCATTAGTTGATTGCACCCCTGTGTTTTGGAAAGATGAAGCAACCTAAGTTTCCTATTGGCAAAAAAAAAATGTCTTTCAAATACAGAGCTCTCTGTCTTTGAAACCATGTTTTTCTCTCTTCCCCTTATCTTACATTTCTCCTTATCTTGTCCTTTCATTCTTATTTAAATGACTCCGTGTCTCTGCATTAATTCAATATAAAAATTCCCAGATAATTTTTGAATGTATGTGCATATGAATGCTGCATTAGTCAGGATTCTCTAGAGGAACATAACTGACAGGATATGTGTATAGGATTTATTAGAGTGCCTTACAGACCGTGGTCCAGATAGTCCAACAATGGCTGTCTGAGGATGTCTCAGCTGATTTTCAGTAAGCGACAGAATCTTGCAAAAGTAGTCTCCAATGCCAGTTAATGGACTTTCTACCAAGAATAAGGCCAGGCAGGTAAAGTGCAAAAGCACTCTTCTTCCATGTCCCTTATGTAGATTGTCACCATAAAATATGGGCCAGATTAAAGGTACATCTTCCCACATCAAAAGATCTGGATTAAAGGGTCGATCTTCCTGCTTCAAATGTTTTAATCTACAAAAATTCCTCACAGGTGTACCCAACTGTTTGGGCTGTAGTTAATTTCATCTGTAGTCAAGTTGGCAACCAAGAATACTCATTATATATGTTTGTACATATGCATGCGTGTTTGCACACATTTGGAACCCAGGGTACAACCTTAGGTGTCATTCCTCAGATGTTATTCATGTTCTTTTTCCTCTGGCGATTAAAAGAAGGTGTGTACTTATGTTTGGGTGGTGGCGGTATCTGTGCATGTGAGTGCAAATGCCTATGGAAACCAGAAGAGAGCATTAGACCCTCTGAAGCTAGACTCACAGGTGGTTGTGGACACCTAATGAGGATTATAGGAACAGATCTTGGATCATCTGTAAGAGTAGTATACTTTCTTACCTGCTGAGCCATTTTTCCAACTCACTTTTTATTCCTTTGATAAACTCTTTTTAGCCTTGCACTCTTTGGGTAGACTAGGCTGTCTGGTCAACAAGACCAAGGGGTCCTCCTTTCTTGGCCTTCCTTCCCAGCACTGGAATTACTAGCTTGTCTCACTTTGCATAGAATTTTTCACAATGTCATTTCAGGGTTTAATTTTCAGGTCTTTATGCTTACACAGCATAGTTTCATCTTTAATAATAAGGTGTTGTTTTACAAATACTTATTATCTGTAGTTGTTGATTTCAACCTGATATTTAATGGTTATTTTAGAAATTACCCCTGGTATTGTGCCTGTACTGAACTTACATAGGTATTTTGTCCATGTAAAAATTTCCTGCACAATGCAGCATGACAACAATTTACATAGCATTTATATTTTATTATTTATCAAAAGCAACACTGGGATGATTTAAAGTATAGAGTAGGTGTCTGTAATATGCACATACTATGCTATTTTCTCTGAGAGAGTTGTGCAGACTTTGATGTGCTTTCAAAAGTTTTTGAAAGTCTCCCCAGGAATGAGGACAGAGATTGTAGTGAACAATTTTAAATTAATAATTTAAATTAAAATCATAGTATAAATTCTGTGTAATAAACACTGATAAGTATATCCTCTAAGATTATTTGTCCCCATATTAACTCAAAATACTACCCTATAATAAAACCCAATTCCTCCTTTTGTAAGGAAGAAAATGCCTTGATACTACTGCCTATACAGAGCACTCAGGTGTAGACCTCATTGACTCACTGTTTATGTACTCCTCTTTAGGCTTTAATTCTAACTTTTCTTGCTTTGCATTGTTGCCTGTACAGAGGACAAGATCTGGATGATGGTTCAGCACAACAACACCGAACTGACTCAAGTACAGGGTTCCAACTCTGAGAAGCCCTATACTAGGACATTAAACTATGGTGGCAGTATGGAGCAGCTGGAGGCTCTGATTGATGGCTCAGAGCACTGTGAACAGGAAGTGGCATATCACTGCAGGAGATCTCGCCTGCTTAACACACCAGGTAAGCTTCTGCTCTTCGTGGTACCTTGAAACCCATAAGCCAATATCCTGACTTGCTTTTTCCCTTACACAAGGCAGAGGATATTGAAAAAGTGGGAACCTCAATTTAAACAATGTCTTCAAACTTCCTAATGACTAGTGTGGGAGGGCCAAGCCAAATATGGGTGGTACCACCTCTGGGTAAGTATATAAGAAAAACAATAAATACAAATAAATCTTAGAAAGCAAGGGGCAAGCCAATATGCCATGTCTCACTATGGCCTGTACTTCAGTCAGTCCCTGCTTCCCAGTTCATGCCTTGACTTCACTCAGTGATGGAGTATCACTTACGAATTCTAAGCATTCCTTCCAAAGTTTCTTTTGATCATGGTGTTTTATGACACTAGAAACACTAACTAAGACATCCAAAGAGAGGCATAGTTGACAAGAAAGTGCCTGCAGTACACTTGATCACTATGCTTTGAGGAATAATATGAGCCAAGGAAGGCCAGGAGTCTTGTCTTTGATATTGAGGAGGTCTGTTGAATCTACACTTGTCTCTATATCTTCAGAACAACATATTGATACTATCCACCTTCAACATCTGTGGAAATGAATAGGTTTTGGAGAAATGGCATTTGAAGAGATGGCATTTGAGCTAGATGTGTAAAGTGCGGTAGCTGGACTGTTTGGTAGAGTGGGGAGATGGCATCAGAAGATGTTAAGGATCCCAGTTTATACACACAAGAGTTATAAGTGATGTCTAGAGCAAAGGTTATCTAAGGAGCAAGCACCAAGCAATGGGTCTAGCAAGTCTGGCAAAGGCTACTCTGTATTCTCAGAATTTCTGTTGCCTGAAGAAACGATGGATATGGATCTAAAAGTAGATTTTCATTTTTAATGAATTAATCACTTATTAAGATGGGGGTTCTCGTGTAGAATTCATTTGCCTTTAACTCAGTAAGTAGCTGAGCATGACCTTGAATATTTGATCATCCTGCCTCCATATCTGGAGTTCCAGGTGTGCAGGCATGTACCATCATGCTTACTCTTTCCTATGGTTCTTTGCCATCAAAATCAGAATGTTTGTGCATGTTTGAAAAGCACTACATGAAAGTGCATAATCCCTAGTTCTGAAGTTTAATTTTAGAAAAAGATGGCTAATTCATTTTATCTTCCCTCAATTGTTTTTTATGGTGAATAATGGTTTGATTATTATGTGTGAATTAGCCATTTTTCTTACTGATGTGATATAACAGCCAACAAAGTATCCAGAAGAGGGAATGTTTTGGGTTCATGGTTTAAAGTCCATCATGTCAGGGAGGGCATGATGGAAATAGCAGAATGGTCTGAGACAACAGAAGCATAGAGTAATTGCCTGCTCATATCCTAGAGAACCAGGAATCAGAGAGGATAATGGTGTTATTCAGCTAGGCTTTTCCCTTTTTTCCTTTGAAAATGCCAAGACTCTGCTTGACACATAATGTCACCCTGGCTAACCTGGCACTCCATATCTAGAACTGAATAACCTGAACTCAGATAGATCTACATACCTCTTCTTGAAGTTTGAACTGGAAGGTATCAGTCACTAAGCCTTTATGGAGTTATTAATTTCCGCAAGTATTAATTCATCTTAAAGGATATGAGTGTATCAAGTGTCCAGGAGTATCAATTCTATCATAAAGTTTAGTATCTATTGTTTTGCGTTTGCAGGTCCAGAGTGGCTGGGGAACAATAGAGACAGAAATGCCAGTAAAGCATGAATGGGTGACACCTAACTAAATACACTGCACTGCTTGACTAATCTAAAATCTTCAAGGGAAGAAACCGTTCCACCTAAGTGAATTTTCCAGATAACTGTCACTTATCTCTTTAAACGCTGAAAATATTTTCAAACAAATTTTAACTATTTGAAATGGAAATATTTCTCCAATGGATTACATGCTTCCTTGCCTTCTTAAACAGAATTCAGAACAGAAAATGGGACCCTTTTTTTTTGATGACTCAGGATCATCACTGTGAAATCAATTCTGGAACTCCTGTTAGATTTAGCCATGCTTGTCAAACTGATGAAATCAGTGCGGCCTCTCTGTTCCTTTCCTTGTGTCCCCACACACCACCCCACATAGTTCTCTGTGCCCTGCTGATTAAGTTGAATTCTTGTGCCACCCTAAGCTCTTTTCAGGATGTCTGGCTCTAGGAACTGACCTCCTTTCTTTTCACTGTTTTGTTGTCCCTTTCCAATGTTTGAGTTCCTATGAAAAACTAAAAGTGTATCCATTCTGACTTTGGGACTCACAATGTCATGCTATTTAGGTTACTCCATTTCATTCATTCATTTATGTGTGCATGTGTGCGTGCATACATGCTTGTGAGTGCATGTGTGTACACAAGACCACAGTGTCATTGGTGGCTAGCTGTTTTGGACCCTCCCAACAGTTAAATCTCAGGCTGTTGTGAGCCATCCAACCTTCTTGTTTGCAAACAACACCCAGATCCTCTAGCACAGAGGTACTTTTTAGCTGTTGAGATATTTTTGTCTCCAGTTTCTGTCATTCCTTTGTGTGCATGCATTGTCTTCTGAACTTGATTGCCTTAAATTCTTCCAGTTTAGGTATGCATAGGCAGAACATAGATTTCTTTGGGTCGGGGAGATCAGATTGGGAATGATGTTTTAATCCAGCCCTTACCTGACTTGTGCCAGCTTGTTTAGTTTCTACAGTTTAATTTCATGACTTGTTAAATCTACACAAAGATTTAAAATTCATAAGACTTAGAGGAAGGGAGAAACTCAAACACAGTCTGAAATGCTTAGACTGTACCTGGCATATCTCAGGCATCCAGTAACCAGTGTCTGCTCACGAATTCCATCTCAATAGACAAGGACCAAAGGTGATGCTGTTATGAGGAGTAAGCTGAAAGAAAATTTCATTTTTATTATTACTTCTTTGAAAAATACATACAATTAGTTTTTCCCATGTCTATCCCCTCTTCTACAATTTTCCCCAGATCCACCCCTAGTGCCCATCAAACTTTGTTTCCAATTTTTTTAGTACCCATCAAGTCCAATTTGTGCTACCCACATATTCGTCGAGTCACTAAGAATGGGTGATTTATCAGAGGTTCCATCTTATAAGAAAACTGACTCTCTCCAGCACCTATCAGTTACCAAGAGTTCTTCAGCTAGGGGAAGAACTTCATGTTTACCTCCCTTCTTTATGTTGGTACTTCTGTCTGGCATTGGCTTGCACAGGTCTTGTGCATGCTGACATAACCTCTGAGTTCGTATGTTCAGTTGTCCTGTTGTGTCCAGAAGACACAATTTACTTTTATCCATGTACTATCTTTCACTCTTTCATTCTTTACACATCCTCTTCTACAACAATAATTCCTGAGCTGTGGGAGGAAGGTTATGGTACAGATATTCCATTTAAGGCAGAGCATTGCTCAGGCATTTATTCTGTGAATCTTGGTTAGTTGTGGGTCTCTGTGTTAACCATCATCTCCTGAAAATAAAATATTTTCTAATGAAGGTTAAGAGATGCATTAATCCATGGGGATAATAAGTCATCAAGAATCAGTTCAATGTTATGTTCATATAGCAAAATAAGAGCAGTAGACTCTCTCCTAGAACCTATGACTGCCCAGCCATAGGTTTTTGACCCAAAAATTGTCCTGGGCTTTATCCTATGAAAAGGGACTTAAATCCTGTGGAAACCGACTTCATTCCACCAGAGAGTTGTTGGTTTGTTGCATTATGTCATTCTTGCTATAGTACCAGCAGGTTAGCTGTTATTGTATCTTTCAGAGTGCACAGATTGTGAGACAGATGATACTGTTGAACTCCAATAGGGTCTTGTCATCAGTTTCCATAGGGTATACAATAGGATTGGCAATAGCGTGTAACATCTGTGTGTCTATAGAAACGACCTGACCAACAATTCTAAAAGGATAAATATTTTTTATAATTGGGCTTTTTATCTGTTATCTTATGTCATTTTATAGGAGCAACCTTGTCCCATGGATAGTATAATAGTATAACTAGTTTAACTCTCTCTCTCTCTCTCTCTCCCTCCCCCCTCTCTCTGTCTCTCCCTTTCTCCCTGTGTGTGTTTGTGTGTGTGTGTATGTATGTATGTCCATTCTTCTACATTTTAAAGTAGTGGGTAGAGTTAGGTTTCCTTCATTATCTGAATTCAAGGTAGATTAAGAAAGGATTCCCAGCCTTGTTATAGACTTATTTATCCTATACTGTCACACCCCAAAGGGAAGAAAAAATAAGGTTTCTGAGATCCCTTAGTGGATACAGTACTTTACTGCCAACCCTGGAAATCTGAGCTTAATTTCTAGCATACACATGGTAAAAGGAAAGAATAAATGCACACAAGTCATCCTTTGGTCTTCACAGAACTGTTTAGGGCTCCTTTGTGCACATGTATACACACACACACACACACAAAAGGATAAAATGAATACACATATAAATGAATTAACATATTCAATAAGACAATATAACCATGCCAATAACTGTTTTTACCAACCATAGTATATCCATTTATGTAAGTGTTTTGAATTAGCAGTCTCCTTTTGGCATAGACACACAGATATGTTGCAGATAGGGCTATAAAAGCATTTTTGTAATTAGATTACTGTGAATATAACAGATTATATACTCAGGATAAATTCGGTGAAATACCATTGCCCGAACAAAAAGTGTGCCAGTTTTCAAGAATTTTTGACACTTAGACTTTTGTTGTGTATTAGGGTAGAGCCAGTTTATACCCCTGACAACACAGAGGGACTGTGTGCCCATTTTCAAGCAATGAAAATTAATTCTCATTCCAGTGTTGGTAATCTTATGAATGTGAAATATCACCAAAGAAAATTGTAAATAAGTATTTTGGGTAGTAGTACTTATACATGCACATATAAGAGAGAGACGGGGAAGGGACAAGAGAGAGAGAATACTATAGTTTATAGGTATCCATTAACTGGCAGTCAGAATTCAAGGATTCTTTTATT